ACACAATGTCCATTTATTTCACATGGTTTGTTTGATTAAGCTGAACATTTGAAAAAGTTTCTTAAATTTATGAATAACAGAAAGTTAGTATATAATATGAAAGCATCTATTTGTTAACAACATAATGTCCATATATTTTACATGGTCCTTGTTTTTAAGTTGAACATTTGTAAAAAATTTTCAAGTTTATTAACAACAGAAAATCTGTATATAACATGACAAGGTCCATTTATTACCCATATAATGTCCATATATTTTACATGGTTCGTTTAGTTAAGTTGAAGATTTTCAAGTAACATGATAAATTCTACATATTAACAACACAAAGTCCTTTTATATGGCATATATGAACATTTGCACAAGGTCCTTGTATATTAACAATATATTTTCATTGAATTTTTAGAAATAAATACATCATATTTGGATAATTTATAACTAAATTCACAACTAAATATCCAATATTAACAAGATAATATTCATGTTTTCACAACACATAATCCAATTTTTTGACTATCAGAAGATCAAAAGTTCAAGTTTCAGGAAATACTACTGCACAGTGAGATGTAGGAGACATCTCCCTATAATCTCATTCATTGAGAGCTGTAATTAACTAATTTATAACAGAACATCCATAAATAACATCAAAAGGTCCATATATTTACAACACAAGGTCGGTCTATATGATACATAGCATAAGCTAATTGCAAAGTTTGCATAATGTAAACTCTGTAAATAACAACATAAATTTCATAAATAACATCCACACCCTAATATGTATATTGTCACAGAAAAATCTATATTAGAAATAACATAAAAACTTATTTTCATTAAATGAACATAAACATGTACATTATGATTAGATAAAACTGATATGGCTCAAGCTCTCTCTATATTCTCTTTTGACAAAATAAAGCTGTTCAGAAGCGGTGATGGGTTCGCAATATGCAATAGTTGCATTAACCTCTATGCCAAAATTAATACACCACTTGATCCATTTTTTTCCACACTATGGCGGCTTGTTCCAAGAAGCTAGTTGGCATGAGATGGATGTAGTCAATTGAACACTTGATTGTCCTTTCCATAGCCATCTGGATAAAGTGAAGCATGATGGCCGAAAACCTAAAACACTCATACTTATTGAGTGAAAATGCTTCAAATGCAAGCTTGAGAAGGAAGAGAAAGAAGGACGAGAAGAAGAAGAAGAAGAGAGGGAACATAAAAGCATGATGGGGAAGAAGATGAATTTGATTATTGCATCGATGTTGAAAGAAGATGAGAGAGAAGGAACAAGGAGGGAGAAAAGAGGAAAGAGAACAAGGTTGTCCTTTAATAGTTGGTTATGAGAGGGGCAAATTGGTAATGTCACTGAAAAACATTACAAACGAGGCCTTTTTGCCTTCAGAATAATTTTAGATTCTATTAGGCTTTGTTTGCAAAATTTTTTGCTTCTAAGGGCCCTAAATGTGATTCCTCCAAAACTTTTTAAGCAAAGAACCGATTAATTCTAGGAAAGCTTATCGACAAGAATCCTTATGACATTCTTAAAAGGATGAATGTTACATATTGTTCATTAACAAGCTCCTTATATTAGTAGAGAAATTTAAGAAATTTAATTGCATGACATTATGAGTTATGAGCAAAATTATTACCAATTGTTTAATTTTTGTTATTGTTATTACTTTAATCAAATTTATTGGCCTTTAATCCCTTATAATATAATAAATTAAGTTCATATTCGATCAAAATTTGAATTTTTATTGAGAGAGGTCTTCACATTTAATAATTGATAATGTTTTGAACAAGAATATTTTTAATGCAAGGAAGGTAAAAAAGATTATTAACATTTTTACTGGCAAAAAAAAAAAAAGAAAATCATTCACCTTTCACATTGATGGTTTCACATCCACTACCATACATTGATTGTATTTTGTCATCCTCTTAATCGCATGAGCACTGTAGATAGTCTAAATTTAGAATATTATTTTATATTTATTAAAATAAAAATTTAAAATTTTTTAATTTTTATAATTAATCTATTGATTTAATTTGAAAGTTTTAATTTAATATTAAAATTTTATAATTTTTATACATTAATTATCCAGATGTATTATGCATCATTTAAATTTAATATTAATTTTTTTATATTTTTATAAATTTTTAGTTTGATAAATACAATATTAAATATCAAAATATATAAAAGCGGCACTTTTTTTTTTATAAAAATTATAAGTTAAAAATTTTAAATCTAAATTTTATATAATATATTTGGATATAGAAAATATAAAAGTTATAAAAATGCTAATATTAAATTAGATCTTTTAAATTAAATCTATACTAAATAAAAATATTTATTAAAATTTTTTATTTTCATAAATGTAAAATATAGAATAATAATAAATATAAATTATCAAACCATAGTAATACCAAAAATAAAATTAATATAATGATAAAATTATATTATATACTCATAAAATTTAATTATCAAAAATATAGATCCAAAAAATATCATGCTTTAGTACATACTGGAGTAAATATTTCAGTAACAAAAGTAAATGTATTACTAAATGAATTATGAACAAAGAAAAATAAAATATTAAGAATGCAAAGAGTAAAAAAAGAAATAAATATTATACAATTAGAAGAAAAAGATATTATCATACAAATAGGAGAATATGAATTAAAAATTAAAGAATTAAACCAATATAATGATAATTCATGTGATGTAATATTATGAATAGATTTTATAAAATAATACTATCCTTTACATATGTTTCATAAAGCATTAGTGTTTATAATACCTTATAATCATGAAGTATGGGGACTAAGAATAACAAAATTATATAGTAGAAAAGATGAAAAATTTTAAAAGAAAATTAATTCTTACCTAGTAAAAAACTTTTATATACAAATCAAGTTATAAATATCATAAATATGTCAGGAACTTTAAAAGTTGTAGAAAAGAAAACTATTGAACAAAGATTGTTTGATAATTGTAGTGAACATCCTTTAATTCATTGAAAAAAATTAAAACATTTAGCAAATAGAATTAAGAAATTATAATAAAGAAATAAATTGTAAACTTTATCCATGGACAAAAAATAATAAAAAAGAATTTATTATACACATAAATAAAATGAAACAATATGATTTAATAAAAGAAAATAGATATGAATATTCATCACCAGCGATGATAGTTATTAAATATAGTGAAGAAAAAAGAGAAAAATTTAGATTAGTTATAAATTATAAAAAGTTAAATGAGTTAGCAATAAGAAATATATACCCAATCTCAAAAATAAATTTATTATTTAATTTAATAAGAGGAAAGAATATATTCAACAAATTTGATTACTTCTCCTATTGTACTTGTCATTTCATCTATCTCTTGTTCTGATACTTGATAGGTATTTTTGTAGTCTTGTATAATTGTATTTGATATTAATGTTGGTAATTTTTTATAAAATAAATCTAAATAGAATTTTTGTTCTTTTGGGTCTATTATTCTAGCATCATAATAATATTTTTTAAATTCACATATGTAAACATTTAAGTATTTTGGTTTTAATGAACATATTTCTATTTCATGCGTCTTTTTTGTATAATTATTTCTTTTTTAGTTGATTCATTCAATGATAAACTATCTCCTATAAATTCATTTCTTATTAATGTTACATAATTTCTTATTATAATACCATAAATGTTGATTCTACTAATAAAAAAGCTGTTTGAAAATCTAAATTTCTTTCAATTAATGCTGTTAATGTTGACTTAGCCCATTCTTCTAATATTCTTTCATTATGCATATTACAATCTAAATCTAATCATGTTTCTATATTAGATATTTGTCTTATTTTATATTATATTAAAGGTGTGGGTATATTTTTATCAGGTATATTAAAAGTAGCTTTAAAAGATTCATAAGGTATTTTATTTATATTAAATGTGGTTTCTGTTTTTTTTTTTTTCCCATCTGGTTCTAGCATTATTTCATCTACTATTCTTCTATTTGATTCAAGTAAATTTTCTTATGTTATCCTACTTGTTTCTGCATTTGTATTTGTATATCCTTGTCCTTCTAAATTTGGGGGATTAAAATGTGTTGATTGAGTATTTTGCATATTAATAATAGCTTCATCATAATTCTTATTTATTAAATGTCCATATTCTTTTTTTAATCCTTTTAATTTTTCTTTTTTTTCTAATTCCATTAGTTCCTCTAATTCTTGGTAATCTACTTCACTTATTTCTTCATCTATTATTTTAGCCATACGTATATGTTTTTTTTTTTTTTGTTGATTTCGATTTTTCTTTTTCTTATTTGGAGCGTAATCTTGTAACGTTATTTTTGCTAATCTATTATTTTCTTCATAATCTATTATTTCTTCTTCTATAATTGTTTTACTATCTTGTTCTATTTTATTTTTGATTTTGAATAATTTGTACCATTTTTTCTATCATAGATTTCTAACTCTAATTTTATTATTTGTTCATATACAATCCATGTATTATTATTCATAACTTCTTATCCTTTTTGTAATTTTTTTTATTCTAGCTTGTTTTTATATTTTTATACATATCTTATTTTTTTATTTTTTTCTGTTATACTATAATTATTTTTTATTATTTTTATTATATTTATTTGTAAAATTTTATCTTCTATGTGAGTTTTATAACTTATTCGCAAGGCATTCATTATTCTTTGAGTATTATATTTTATTAAGCTCATATTATGTTTTATAAACACCTTTCAAATTAAAGATCACATCACTATACTCAGCACTGAAGATTGGATCCGGGAGGGACACCGCCTCTACTAAACCCGGGGGGAAAAAACTCATAGCACCCCTTCATAGCTGCGTTCTCCGTCTCCGTCTCCGTCTCCGAGAAGCTCCGGCCGTCGTCACCTCAGCGGCGACTCCTACGCCCTCCTCTGCCACTGTGCTCTGGTACTTCATCGACGTCCTCCAGGTTTCGCCGGTGCTGTTTGTTCTCTTTTTCTTTTTTCTTTTCTACTTTGATTTTTTTTTCTTCCTGGGTTGATTGTGAGGCTTAGCTTTAAGAACCGGCAACCCTGATTGTGACAAAATATACGGAATGAACAAAATATACTTCAGCGAAATCGCCATCTTCTCCAAATTCCACTATCCGTATGTCTATTGCTCTCTCTCTTCTCCTTTCGAACAAGCATCGTTATAATCTATCCCCTCCCCACCATTAAATCAAACAGACCGTTATATTCCACCTCCTCAAATCTCTTTGCCGATTCTTTCATTTTCGTCCATAATACCAATTGATTCTTTTACAGTTGTGATATTTGGGGATAACAGTGATAGTTGGAGGCAGACATTGATACCAAGAAACAAATTTTCAGTTCAAATAAACATTGAGAGAGTGAGGAAACGAATTGAAGGAGGAAAGTATTGAGCATTTTTGGTCAACAAAAAGAACCAGTGTTTCCCTCCATCTACGCTGTTGGGTCGGAATCAAGTTGTCTGATTCTTCAGGTAGTCGCGCCAGGCAACAAAATAGTTGATGCATCATACCAGAATTTGCTGCACTTTTTGGTCATAATAAAGGTTGTTTTTATCATTTCTACAAACTCTCCTTCCTTCTCCAGGCAAACATGGGATGAAATCAGTCTCCCTCAATAGCAGTAAACTAGTTCCGCCCTTGCCACCGTTCTTTCCTTTCCATTATCAACCAAATACTGCTGTTGCAGGAAACTACCAGCTTTTCCTTCTCCCTCATCGAGTTCCAGGGTTCTTTTCCTGCGGTAGCTCTCTCTTTTTTGTCTCGTATGCTTCATTATGTTTCTAGTTGCATTGCCTAATATTGTTACTTTGAAATTCCATTTCATATGCCACACTCTTTTGCATTCCTTGCTTTGCAGAAAAGGATGTTGATTCCTCGTTATTAGTTCTCCAGAAAAGTTTGGACCTTTGAGCTTTAGGGATTTGCAGTGTCAGTGGAGATGATACTGATTTTAGAGTTGAATCTGAGTTAGGACGATAGTTGATGTACTGATAGTGATATATTAAAAGCAATGAAACCGCCTATAAAATATGTTAGATTTGATCTGTGAGTTATAGTTAAAAAATGCAAAGCCGTATTGAAACTGGAGAATATGATGGCCACAGGTACACTTAGGAATGTAGTGTTAACTAGTTAGGTCTCATATTTGTCGTTTGGTTGTAATTATTAATTGAAGAATAGGTGGATGTAGACGTATGAAGCATATATAGATTTCAATCTTGCACTAAGTATTGCTTGCTAGCTGTTTGATTGGGATTTGTGTTGTGGTTTATTTAATAAATGATTATCTATAGAAAGTGAGTTGTATTATTCTGTCAGAAAGAAAATTAAGGTTAGAAGAATAAAGCTTTAAGCTTTAGTTAGTTTGAACTGAAGCATGTTTGAGGGGAGTGAGAAGCAAAATTTCATGGTGACAAAGCCAAGGAAACATATCACTTTGGGGAATGAGGGAGAGTATCACTAAAGTGGTGTGTTTTTGTGTGTTATATATATATATATATATATATCATATTGTATTGAACGTGCTGGATTGGAAAATGACAGGGCTAATGGCGTGATGGTATTGTATTGATATGTCGGGGTACTGAAGTTACTAGTTATAAATCAGTTTCTGAATTCGGCAAAGTTGGATTTTGGGTGTTTTCTTCTTGTCATATCTAAGGTAATTTAAATTAAGTGTAATCAAAAGTGTAATATGCACCGTATAGGTGTAATTAATATCAATTTAAGAAAGCATCAATATCAAGATTTTTAAATTCTAACTGACAGATTTTAAAATAAAAGTTTGATGAAAAAGTGTTGAAAAATATTGAAGACGGAAAATTATATTTTATTTCTTTAAAAAGGCATTGGCTTTATAATTTTTAATTAGCTAATTTTTATGTGATTGAAATTTGGGTGGAAAGTAGAATGGTTGCTAATTTATATACATATATATATTCGTGTATCACATAAAAACTCTTAACATTAAATTAATTTTTCAAACTATGAACCGCAATAGTTTGAAAAATGGAAAAGGTTAAAAAAACTGTAGAATTAGACAGCCAGTGCCCCATGGAAAGTGAGACGGCTAGAAACTTAGAATAGAAGAGGTTCTAGATTATCTGGAAGTAGGGCAAATAGAAGAGCAGCAAACAGGATCTAATGGCCTTGATGAAACAGAAGGATGAAGAGTATATCGCTGGCCTTTTATTTAAAACAATTAAGTCTAATCCTTTGGGTGCTCGCTTCTTCGTGGTGTAGTGTGCTCCCTCCCTAGCTTGGCATTACTTTCTTCTTGCTGAGTGTTATCCAAAACCCTTCCTCTCCTCTTTAAATCCCAAAGAGCTTCAACTTGAATAGCCGTCTACTGGTATTAATAACCCATTTTTTTCATTTGCTAAGCATTTCAACATCAAGTTTTCATTCTTCACTCCAGTTGACTTTCTTTGTTGCCTTTGATGGTGTTTTCTTCCAGCTGTCTTGCCCTCGAGTTTTGATTTGTTATATTATTGTGCATTTCATCTGTAAATTAGTATGATGTGAGATTGGCTTCCTGTTCAATGTCTTCTTTTTTGGGATAATTTTCTGGGTCAAGAACTGTTGTGTGCATCTAAAAAATTATTGTTATTTCCCCCCTAACTGTGATAGCTGCAAATTTGTTTGTTTGTGAGTTGGTCAGTGTTGGTTGACCATTGTTGCATAGTTTTCAAATAGTTTACTTACCTTGTGATAATGAAATTTGTAAAGCTGAATTTGTAACTATGTGAGAACAGTGGTTGATTGCCGTTTCATCTTAATTTTACTACTCCTTTTGCAGCATTAGCATTTGACAATATGTCAAAACAACCCAACATCCTCTTTTTGGAGGAATGGCTGAGGAACAAATGTGGCGGTGCCAGCAAATTAAATCCTAGAAACTCTAATTCTCCATCTGCTCGAGCCATTATTCAGGCATGGGCTGACCTCAGGGACTCCGTTAAATATGAGTCTTTTACCTTACATCATCTGCAATCTCTTAAAATCCTTGTCAATTCTCAAACATCTCTCCATGTTGCAGACCCCCAGGCGAAGCTGCTTGTTGCCATTCTTTCATCTCCAAATCATTCTCTTCCTTATGAGTCCTATCCTCTTATGTTTAGGCTTCTTTACATATGGGTGAGAAAAACCTTGAAGCCTACTTCAGCTGTCATTGATTCAGTAGTGGAGGTCCTCTCTCACCTCATCTCTGTTCAATTTGATTCTAGAAAAGATCCTTTCTTCTTTTCTGAAGTTATTCTCCTGCTAGGTGCCATTTCTTCTGTGCTCTCTTCACCTGAAAGATCCAAAACGACCTGCTTGGACATACTGTCTGGACTGTTGATAAAGGAGTATCAATTCCTTGGCTTATTTACAGAACTTGTGCCTGATGTTCTGGCAGGAATTGGGTATGCTTTGTCTTCTCCTGCAACAGTTTATAATATTTCAATACTGGACTCATTATTTGAAATTTGGGGCAAAGAAAATGGGCCTCAGGGAAGTATTGCTCAGGGATTGATGATTCTTTATTTGTTTGATTGGGTTATGTCAAACTTGGTTAATTTCCAGTTTTGGGATAAAATACACTTATTTTGTCAAGAAGCTTTTCAGAAGTTTAAGGTAAATTATGCTCCATTTGCCGTTTTCATGGCTGGGGCTGGAGTTGTGACGGCTTCAAAAAGATCTATGTCAAGCACTATTAAATCTGATACCATCTCTAAAGCGAGGACTTGTGCAATTGTTTCAATGGAAACTTTAGCTAGCAATTTGTTCTCAAGGATGTTGAGATCTGATATGTCAATCTCAGGCAATGATCTTAGAGACAGACTTTTGCTCCAATGTGTCTCATTAGCATTGGCTCGAACTGGCTCATTTTCTGGTCATTCCTCTTTTTTTGTTTGCCTTGCTTTGGCATTGTTAACTGAAATACTTCCATTGCCTTGTATGTGCAAAACTGCCCTTGAATTGTCAAGAGGTTCTGGTGGGCTGAAGCTAACTGAGATCAATGAACATCTAGATAATATCCTATTCAAGGAAGCTGGAGCTATAACAGGGATCTTCTGCAATCAGTATGTCTCAGCAGATGAAGAACATAAGGATGTTGTGGAAAATCTTATATGGAAATATTGTCAAGATTTGTACTTCGGGTACAGGCAAGTAGCTTTGTTTTTTAAAGGCAAGGAGGATAAGCACCTTGAGGGTTTGGGGAAAATTGCTGAATCTGCTTTTCTCATGATTGTGGTTTTTACATTGGCTGTCACAAAGCACAAGTTGAACTCCAAATTCACTCAAGAAATGCAAATGGATGTCTCGTTGAAGATATTAGTATCATTTTCTTGTGTAGAATATTTTCGTCATGTCCGTTTGCCAGAGTACATAGAAATAATTCGCAAGGTTGTTGCGAATGTTAAGGAGAACGAGCATTTTTGCACTTCTTTTGTGAAGTCCATGCCTTCTTATGTTGAATTGACAAATAGTCCAGGTGTGATTTATCATTTTAAGAAGCCTAATTTATTTTATTCAATTGGATCTATGATATGTTTTCCCGCGCTGGTTTTGATTATCTTGCTTTGAATAAGATTTAACATGTCTTCTAGAATTTACGCTGGACCAGAAAACCAAATACATATGGTCTAAGGATGAGGTACAAACAGCTCGCATTTTATTTTACCTACGAGTCATTCCAACTTGTGTTGAGCATTTGCCCAGCCATGTATTCAGGAACATGGTAGTTCCAACAATGTTCTTGTATCCTACATCAAAATAATATTACTGGGTGTTTTGGGTTTATGCTCTTGTTTGCTCTCTGTTCTCATGATCATTTGCTGCAAATTTGCTTCCTTATTCAAGTGAAACTAGATACATGGAACACCCAAATGGAAAAGTAGCTCGGGCCTCACATTCTTTGTTTATGGCATTTATTTCTTTTGGGGAAGAATCTGAAATGAATGGAAGATTATCACTGAAGGAGCAACTTGTTTTCTATTACATAGAAAGATCCTTATTGGTATCTGAATCAACTTTAACTTATGTCTTAAATTTGAGACTGATAACTTGAAAACAGTTCTAATCTTTTGTGGAACATTAAATACAGGGGTATCCAGGCATAACTCCTTTTGAGGGTATGGCTTCTGGAGTTATAGGAATTGTTCGACATCTTCCTGCTGGAAGTCCTTCAATATTTTATTGCATCAACAATCTTGTTGAGAAGGCAGACATGCTCTGTGCCGAAGTCCTCACTAATGATGCTGATGCATGGAAAAAGTTGCAGGGGGAGACAGAGCCTTGCAAGAGATTACTGGACTTGCTTTTGCACATAGTTTTTTTGGTTGACATACAAGTATGTTACTTTTAAATTTCTTACGATTACCTGATTTCTTTTCCTTTTTTCTGGGGGGGGGGGGTTTGGAGAGCGGAGGTTTGGGAACTAAAACCTGTCATCTTGTTTTCATCAATCAAAATTCACGTTGTTTTTTGCCACAAAGTAATATAAAATGAAGCAGTGCGGACCTTCTAGGATTCAAGTTTGACACCTGGAATCTAGGTGGACCTATTAAAAATAAAATCAATTATTGCATAATTCAGCGCTTAAGATTGGCCATGCTGGAAATTGTTTTGCTCTCATGTTCATTGAACGATGTTATTGAGTTAATTTAATTAAGCCTTTACTGCTTGCTAGGTCTTGGTGGATTTAATGAAGTTGTTAGCACAGCTGATTACCAAGTTACCACAAGATGCACAAAACATGGTTCTTAATGAGTTATATTCACAGGTGGCTGAATGTGATGATGTTGTACGAAAACCAACATTAGTTTCATGGTTGCAGTCATTGTCTTACCTTTGCAAAAAGGCTTCACAGGAAAATGAAGTCTCTGGAAAGACTCCTAGTGAAGATAACTTCATTTTGGCCTGCGCTGCCGACCCCAGAAGCTGGTTTAAATTAGCTTCACGACTCTGAGCATTTAGATCCAATGTTTTTTGCTGGACTTTCTCTTCTATCCTCCAAACTCTCTTGTCACAAATCATGTTAATACATTTGTTACTGCATGAGATGTATAGCTGAGAGCGGATTCTTGACTTGCTGCTTTTAATCTTTTGTCCATGCACCTATAATCTTGTCTGTATTACCTGAGGAACATAGTTGATTTTAATACCTATTGCGTATGTGACATCAATTATTGCCAACCGAAAATAAGAGCTGGTGGGATGTGCAAGCTTAACGCTTGGCTTCTCTACCCTCTTCTCCTCTTGCATGGTACTGAAAGTGAAGCCAAAATAATAGGTAAGCATCATGAAACTTACTCTGCTTATCATCTCAATTCTCCACTAGTTAGTCTTTTAACTATATTTTCTGGTGTTCATCTTGGTGGACAGAAGTGGTTTGATCAGGTGTTTGTCAGGAAGAATATTAAAGTGAAAGGTTCACCATTTTGAGGTAATTTCATCAACTTGAGTCCTTAATTATCAGGTTTGAATTTTGATTGGGGCTTAATTTTCCCAGTGTTTCTGTCCCCTTTATCCAGCAAAAGAGCAGCAAATGTCCAGGTGAAGATGCTAGGTCTGTCTGGGAAAAATAAAAAATAAAATGTAATTTATTAGTTTTACATGCATTTGGATTTCTCTCAGTTTATATTAGATCTTGATCCTTGTCGAGGGTTTATCTCACTTTGTTTCGACAAAATGTCCTGGCGAAGCTTTTGGATTTGGTATGGAGAAAGCAATGTAAATACTTGCTGACATGGAGCATACAGTTTAGTGGACCTGTATATGCATGAATGTATGTATATCAAGTGTGTGTAAGTTTGAGATGTAATTTATTAGTGAGAAACGATGAATATATTAAACTTTTTCCTATGATATTTTATGCAGGTGATAAAGTTTATGTTATGGCTTGCTGTGTTTATTAAGAATTATACTATTTAGTAAAGGACAGTTTAGTTGTACTTGACATGAGATGATTTATGGAAAAATTAAATATAAGCTGATTTTTAAGAAGCTAAGTTGATTCTTTCTTTGTTTTGTTTTGTTTTATTTTGTTTCTTTTGTTTTTGAGTCTATCGCTTTCTATATCCTGGAGAACTTGGGATATTACTACCATTTATATAGACTAATTTAAACCTTCTGCTATGTAAGAGCGTTATTATCAACTGTGGCTTCTTTGAGTATTTTAGAGATGTTTTTAATATATTTATTTAATACGATTATATATTTCAAACTTGAATTTGAGATTTCAAAATAAATTGATCTAATTTCTTCTATCAGTTCAACAAAGCAACTCTTGGTAAGCTTTTTGTTTTTATTTTGGGTTAGAGTAAGCGTAGTTGATTCTTAGCAAGAGCTAGATATCATATTTTTTTACTACTATGCTCAGCTTTTCAGTTGTTCTCAGTAGAGCTAAAAGATACGGAATATACTTGGGGCATGGGTACATATGACTGCTCGTCATGCTAATGAACACCATATATTTATCAAATTTGGATCATTTAAAATTTATTTGGACGTTTTAAATTTGAAGTTTTTAAATTATAACTCTTAACTGATGAATTTATTATTATTATTATTTTTTTAAAGCTTGACGACTGGGAAGGTATAATATGCTTGCAGCTGCTTGTTTCCTTTCTGCATTGTATCATTGTCAATCTGGAAGCAATTCTGGTGAGAGTGAGAACAAAGCATCCATGAAACCAACTTGAAAATGATGCATGAAAAACATTCTTACATATTCATGACCACATCAATTAAAAGGTTTTTCTATTATTAAGTTACCGGGATACCTTGTTTCTAGTAAGTTTTTGAACACAATTTATCTAAACTATTTTTTTATACTAAAAAAGAATAAATTTATTATATAAAACCATGCAAATAAATCTTTTCTATTTGGTAACAACAAATTTTATAATCTTAGGGTAGCTTAAGAGTAGCATGAAATCTTTTCTCAATATTACATCTCGTTTTGGGAAAAAGTGCCGACTAGAATTATTAGAAAAAATGGCATTTCATTACTGGCAAATTATTTCATAAATGTTTCATTGGTCAAATTCTTACCACTGGATCAACACTGAATTATTTAAAAAAAAAGAAAAAGAGAACTTAAATAGAGCAAATCAAATAAAAGGAAAAAAAAATATATGTGATCAAATATCTATCTATTGTACCTAATAAATGGGTTCTTCCTCACCTATGTCAATTTCAAGTCAAACAGTACACAGCCAGAATTATGAACGTACTAGCAACATTTCATCTTCATATAAATTTTTAAGCTATCAATTTTTGAAGTATAGTTCTATTCGATCAAGTCATCATTTATTTTTTTTTTAATTTTAATTTTATGACTTTTTTTTTCTATTGTTAATATATTTGATATTTTTATAAAATAAGGGTCAACTTACCTTCTCTTTCATCTTATACCAAATTTTATTTTAAACTTTCACAAAAAATATTAATTTTATATTACGCTATTACTTTTTCCTTTCCTTCCCATTTCTTGCACCGCACAATATAATTTTGCCGCCACACGGCCCTTTACTTTACACTAGTCGTCTCTCGTCGTCGTCATCCCCCTCCATATTGTCTGGGTTTAGGGTTTAGAGCGTGTTTAGCTCTGTTCCTTGTCCATCATAGTGAATTGTTATAGTATGTGCTCTTTCGCATCCTGCTAAACACAATGCATGCTGTAAAGGGTGCTTGGGTGGGGCAAACCTTTGCCCTTGCCAAGCGCAATGAGTCTGAAGTAAGAAAATCAAGGATTCGCCGTTCCAAAGAGGAAAGAAAGGCAATGGTTGAAACATTTATAAAGAAGTAAGAAGTAATTATACTCTGCTCTCTCTTGATTTTATTGAGTTGTTCGACTTCGAAATATTATCTCCTGTACTTTTTTTTATAATTTTTTTTTAAGAACTTGTACATTTCTTCTTTTCTCGAAAGGAATATATCTTTGTGCTCGAATGCGTTTGCAAAAGAATCCTATTGACGTGACATTAAAGCTAATTTTACAAATGGTTTCTTATCAAATTCTGATATTGGTTGCTATTGGCGGGCATTCCATTTTCATTCCTGGGATGATGTGTAAATTCCGGGAGTAAATCATGTCTGCAATGCAGGGAATTGAGGGCATGTAACATACTCCCAGTTATGGTGAGTTGTGGCCACGATTTACCTGTATTGATGAACTTGAAGAGTTATACTTTTCATTAACATTTTAGGAATGGTCTGTTGCATTTTATATAACTTTCCTTTCTAATATTTTATTGTTGGCAATTTCCTAACAATGTCTAATTTTTGTTAAGGTATGCAGTTTTCTGTTTAGCATGTAGTATACTTCTTTGTGCCGGTTATTAAGTATCTAACTTATTTCAATTACCTATTTGATGCTATCCATTCTGATATATAATTGTAATACAAGGGGAGACTTAGAGCCTGTTTGTTTTCTATTTTTAAAAACTGTTTTTTATTTT